TCGGAGGGTGACTCGCTGAGAAAACCATCTACTTTGGTTTGAGTACTCGGACAGTATCTCAGCTCACACATAAATCGAATGAAAACTACTTTATATGATATGATATATATATATATATATATATATATATATATATATATATATATATTGGCACCTCTCTGTACTAATTTTCCTGTGCTCCAATAAATAGTGGTGAAATTGTGTTTTATGGGACACTGCCCATCACAACAATCATTTAAGAACTATATACAATAGAATGTTATTCAGTTTTAGCACCTACGCACCACATGTGTGTCTGTTAGTCATTGTCAGTCAGTCGATCAGATCCACAAAACATAAAACTTGACACGTGCATCGATTCAATTTCCCTAACTGCAGTAAAATAAAATTATTTCACGACAAATCCCAAAGTAATAGGAGTGGTAGCCGAACCAGTATTAGTCGAAAAGAATAGGTGTGGAAAAATAAGGTGTAAGATTTCGCGATTCAGTTTCTAAACAAAAACAGAGTGGATGTACCTGCACCATTGCAGAAGATGTCGAGCGATGTCACCCACAGTCTCTAACAACTAGTTACGATAATCATGTGGAGCCCAAGTAGGTTGTCGATAGCTATTCACATGACTCAATACAATTGTCAATCACTTCACATATTGGTACCATGTCTTGATGTGACCGTCACTAGTTTTCTTTCAGCCTACTAGTGCAACAGAAAATATTACCTACTGAGATAGGCATTAATTGGATATACGTGACACAAGTGGATTATTGCTAATAATATAAATTGTTTGAGAGCAAAATTTTAGCAAGCGAAAATGAAATCAACACATTATATGCACTTGAACAAGTAAGCAGTTTACAGGCCTTTGCATTTATACATTATATACATCTTTAATGATACAGTAAACTCTTCTTATAAAGCCTAAACTTCTAAAACCACAAATAAATATTCGCTTTCATCGATATATCAACAAGGACCAGTCCGTTTTAAATGAAACCAATAAATTCTATTCTATGATAGCCAGCTCACTAATAACTTGCCTCAATATATTTCTAAAAATTTGGTGAGATGTCGTTAGCTGAAAATTTCGGACACATCGGAAGTGAAACAGTTGTCATCACTAGGATCGAGCGACCGCTGCTGTACCAGCAGACACCGACTCACTGATTTTAATGGTTTAGCGTTTGCTGAGAGATCTGAAATTTCTGCTTACAATCCCTAATGAATAAGTACTGATAAATAGTTCTAAAAAGTTGTCAAGTGTTCTGCTTCACCATTTTTACTTCCCAGTAGAATTCCGATATCTGGTGCTCAGATTTTAATGGAATCCATAAATTATTCATCAACTATATATCATAACAAGATAGACTGATGCTAATCTGAAATATGAAAATTAATGTACAATACACTAGATAGCTGATAGTCATCATCATCGTCACACACCTACCTATATGTTAGGGGGAAAAACAAACCATTTTCAGGAAAAAAAATTCTTTATCAACAAGCAGCTGAATTATAAAACGTAATACACTTCTTTTTGAGAGAAAAAAGTACTTAAAAATAAACAAAATCACCATCGAGACTAATATTCATAATCAAGCATACGAATCGGCTTATTTTTGTATAAATTAATTTCACTTTCATAAGTGTAATGTGGTTGTTATTATTATTTTATACATGTGATGCATTCTAAATTATTCATTACAAAACACAATGCACTATAAGATACCAATGAAATATGATTCACACGCTAGTTCTTATTAGTGTTTTAATGTAAGATAACCATTGAACTGAGTACACACAAACGCATAGTACCAATAAATGACCTTCAGTTGATTAATTCTCAGTAGATTATTGAATTGTGAGCTTGTTAGAAAGAAATTTTTTATCACATTTTAACTAAAAGTAATTATAATTGCAAGATAAAATATGAGACTATATTTATATCTAGAAAGTGATAATGACAATAACTATAAATAGAATCAATGATGAATGTTTCTTTCTATGTAGTTTTCCGCTAAATGAATTATACATATCCTAGAAAGTTTTAGTTTTCTCATTTAAACTGAAATACAGAGCGCTCAACGATCCAATATTTATAGAATCATGAATACCACTACTGTTCAAAATGAAGATATTGATAAAAGAAAGGATAAAGATGATCAAACAATGAACTATACAACAACAGTATCTCTAAGATATCAAAGAAAATATAACAATAATACAACTGGGATCTAGACATTATTTTTCATTTTTGATAAAGCTTACAAGAAAACAACTACACAAAACTAATGATAATTTTTCTTATGATAATCAAAAGTGAACTTAATATAAGTGATGTGTGGAGATTTAAAATTGTAAAAAATTGAACTAATCCAATAGAATAAAGGAATATGTGATTCCGCCATTTTCCCCTCTATACAAAGCTACATCAATCATTTGGTCAGTCAATCAATCATAAACAACGTAGATCATGACACAAATATTTGTTAGCCATGCTTATCATATCACATTAGCAAGACGATATGGAATCAACAAATCGAATAACAAAAAAACAGAAATAATTTATTCACTATGATGATAAGGGTAAATTTCGAGAATATGGTTGTAAACGACAGAATGAGAAGGTACGTATAAGGACATGCTAAAACTTAAGATATAGAGCGATATAATTAAGGAATGCATCTGTGGTATTGTAATCTATTATGAGCCATGTCACACGATGTCTCCGAACAATGATTGTAATTATTATGTTGACTAAAGTCGGATAATCTTCATTTATCGACGTAGACTAGACCAACAGTTAATAATTCCATGGACCAGTATTACGTTTTCGTTGTTCGACCCCATAAGCTTTCGTTGAACCTATTGCCATACCAGTTAACTAACACTGTCCATCAAAGTAAATAATGGTTGCTTAGGCATATGTAATATATATTCCATTCCCCTTAGTTGATAAACAGTCACAAACTCAACGAGTTTTCCACTTAGAGTGAAATCGACAGCCTTGTGTTCATGAAAAGTTTAGAATATGATAAAATTCATAAAATTGTAACACAATTTGTCAAGAGAAATTTCACGAATATTGAAACATTTATTGGATTCATCCACTCACTCCGTCAACTCTCCCATACAATTCCGAGACAAGATTAAGGACATTCAAATTAACAACGACGAACTGATTATATCCTCCAACGTAACAACCTTATTCACTACAATTGAACCAAGCTTAGCAAAAGAAACTCTATCCCTGCTTCTGATCAACGACACAAATCCCCCAAAGTACACGAAGCTTCAAAGTCAAGGTCTACTAGAACTCATCGATTTATACTTAACAATATATTTTCAATTCAACAACAAAATCTACGAACGAAAAGAACACCGACGGGATTACTAATATCAAGACTTACTGCAGAAGCAGTGATGAAGAGGCTGGAAGCCTCGACCTGACCAGTGATCAAGCCAAAACTTTGGATTGGTTATGTGGACGACACATTCGTTATTGTCAAAAAGGATGAGCTGGAAAACACCTACAACCTGATCAACAACGTCTTTGATGATATCAAGCTCACAATGGAACAAGGGTCAAACAGCAAACTACCATTCTTGGATAATTAATCACCAGAACCAACACAGGAAAACTGGAGACTCAAGTATATCGGAAACCGACCCACACAGACCAAATTCTCAATTACAGTAGCAACAACCCAAGAGCTTACAAAATCAATTGCGTACAAACTTTGTTCAAGAGGGTGAGGACACACTGCAACACACTAGCAGAGCGGAAAATTATATAAAGACTATCTTTTAAAAGAACGGCTACTCAACCAACTTCGTCAAAAAATACCAACCGAACGCATCAGCGGAAACAAAATCAGGTACAAAAACCAACAAACAGATCATCGAACCATATGTAAAAGGCACATCAGAAATTACGAGATTGTTGAAGCCTTTTGGAACAGGTGTAGCACACAAGCCAACAAAACCACTTCAATCAATCCTATGCAAACCAAAGGACGAAGTGAAAAAAGAAGAAAAACTGAACGTCATCTACAAAGTAAATTGTTCCAAGTATGAAAAACATTACATTGAACAAAGTGGACGCGCAATTCATCTTTGCCTGCATGAACATCAATTAGCAGTCAAACGCCATGACATATCCTCACTTATATCAATGCATGTGGACAACTGTGGACACACATTCGACTGGAAGAATGTTGAGTTCTCGGGCAGAGGGAATTCTAAAAACACCAGAGAAGTTTTAGAAGCTTAGCACTCAGATCAATCACCAACCAACAAACACATTGAAATCGACCCAATTTATTAACCAATCGGAAAACTTATGGACAAATGTAGGACCAAGAATCAAACCAATGGGAGATACAATCAAAATAAAGCAAACAATGACAGTTTAAAGGTCAACAATAGCCAATCAACATCAAAATCTACAGGACAAACTGTGAGCCACATGTGGAGAAATTTGAACACTTCACTCTACTTGAAGTTTGTGCTAATAATGTCTTTCAGAATAACGATGAAAGCTCCACGACCAGACCATCCAGCTCAGAGAACAAAACTCCATCAAAATCATTCACCTGAGCTACAAATCTTCTCCATCATCTCAAAGAATTCTAGCTTCAACAATCTTTATAATTTTGCAATTTAAAAAGTAGTAAATTTCTAAAAATCTTCAAATGAATTTAAAATTATATCGATGGGTAGATTTGTGTCGAAATATCCGGGATCTATTAAAAATTTCGTAACAGAAGACACAATTGATTCCTTACATTTTACTTTACTAACTATATTTAGAATCGTAATTTGAAATAAATAAACACGAGTGTACATCTTCAAAAATGAACTTGTTGAAGAGTGTTCCCTTCATTTAACTGACTGTCCTTTGTATTAATTGATTTGCATATAAAATAACATACTAATATAAATAATTATAATATTATCAATATCAATAATAAGTGTACACAATGAAAGCAACGACTTACTTGTTGATTTGGTGATAAACTCAAAATTAATTGACACTGTTTTCGTCGTTGAGTACAATAATGTCGTTCAAATTCCGCTCGTTCATTCAATACAGAATGAATATGTAAACATCGATACACTGGTCCGAAATCGACTAAATCCTCCACTTTTGAATATGTTCGATTACAACAATTATCATCATTATTAACATTTATTTGAGTTTTTATTGTCATTTCTGGTTCACCATGATCATCATTGGTAATCCATGGATGATTTTTATTTGTAACAATTTGAGTTAACATTTCTAATTCATTATCTAAACTATCAGTATTCGTATTAACTGAATAAGGAAACAGTGATAAAGAGAGATTGGGTGAATGAGTCAGTGAGCAAGGAGCATATATAGGTGTGACAATACATCAGTGGGCAACATATAACATAAGAAAAACGATAAGCTGTACAATAAATTACTTATGAAAATACACACATTTAATGCGATAGAATTAAACGTCATTATGTGCGAGTCCGAATATTGATATGAATTGGAGTGAATCAGTCACTAAGTGCGAGCTTATCAACTTAGTTTTGAGGTACAATTCAGGAAATAGGGATATTTAACGTTTATTAAAAATATTTGGCCTGGATTCAAAGAAATTGGAAGTCCAACTCCGCAACATTTCTCATTCAAATAGTGACTGACCGAGCATTCTATAAATTTAAGACTAATTTACAGTTGTGTGTGATGTACGTAAATTTTGTTGTAATCATTTAAATCCCTCATCTGAGTTCTATAATAACTAGCTGGTAACTAGGATATAAAAACTGGTGGTAACTGACAGTTGACTACTGATATATGCGTATGTACATATATATTTGTATAAGTATGTATATAAATTTTGTAACGCTCTAGATTCTTTTAATGACATGATGTGGTATATGAAGTATGAGGATGAAAACAGCCCTTTAATTAGAACTAAATTCTGATAATATTCTTTTATTAAACAAAATTCTAAGAAATTAAAGTTCTACAGTCCTGAGTTCAATACATAATTGGGTAGTGCCTACTCAATAAAAAGGTGTAGTACCAATCTAGGTTATCATAACTATTTAGTGACCCCTTGCTTTAAAAGTGTATCAGCTGATATTATTCCATGACGAAAATGAATCTCAGAATTGGCCTAACTTTGACAAATAATCAAGTGAAATAACTATTTCAGCAAACGATTGATTATATGTATGAAAACCTAACCAGAAAAATGTATACAAATAGTTTAATTCATCAAGATATTAAGAAATTGCTGGAATATTCGAATAGGTTACACAATGTGTAAATGGTAAATATTATCAGTATGAAGTTGTGGAGATTGTTAAATTTTTTGATTGAGATCATGAAAACCTGGAAGTACTGAACAGCCGTTTCGTTCTAGTATGAAACTCCTTGGCAGTGCGTATCCATGACATCGCACGAGGGATCTGAACACAGGACCTTCGGTCTCACTAGTGACTAACTTCAAGATGATTTTCTGGAGTTCTAGTGAAAAGTCATAACCAGTGGAGTTCCATCTGTGTCGGATAGAGACAGGTATCTACCTCAGTCAATGGACGAATGGTTGCGCAGCCATTCATAGATCGATGGAAGTTAGACATTAACACCGCTGGATGCCGGCTCAGTGCTCTAGAGGTTAAGTGTTCGCGCGCGAAACACCTATCTATTGCTTCCAGGTTTCCAACGGCTGTCTAACATTCATCGATTCATGATCTCAATCAAAAAAATAGTAATTGTTGAAAAAAAGGAATATCAATCGATTATCATGTATATGCCCACGTATCATGTTGTAAGTTACGAAATCTAATTGGACAGTTTTTATATTGATATTTGCATGAGTACTGCAAAACTACGAAGAAGTTTGGTACAAAATAAATGACTTTTTGTTAAAAAGTTTACTCTACAATGAGGTTAAGCTATTTCAGTTGTTTCATACAATATATCTCATTTATAAATTTGACTAAAGCAAAAACAATTAACGTGGCAAAATAACATTACATCACTATATTTTATAGTTTCTAGTTATCTGCTTACAACTTAAACATAATAACATAAATCATCAAAAATCACCTTACATATATTATATCATAATACGGGAAAATTTCTCATCAGTGAAGACTAGTGAAAAAAGCATTGATTATAAAAGAACTACAAGAAATGTTTATAAGCCAAATAATGTGAGTATTTACAGGTTTAATATATTAATATTGTAGAATACAAAACTAAGAGAATAGAAACAGAATTATTTAGGAACAAGACATTAATGTTATAGTTATGTAACCCGTAAAACAAAATTAACTAAGTAAAAATAAGACAAGAAGTGGGGATCAATAATTAGTGTCATGAGAAGATCATTGCGTAACAAACATTTATGAATGAGATGACTAATGTGTTTCTGTTAAAGGAGTGTTCTCCAGGTCGGGAAATTTTATTGCAAACATTTGACCATCGTTCTGGACCAACATCACCAGACCTTATTCTACGATAAATAAAATTATAATAAACGTAGACAAAAAACACCTAAAAAAGTTACTAACCGGATGCTTTGTGAACTAACGATTTTAACATCACTTGTTGTTGTGATTCGTTATTTGGTTTTTTGCTTACATCCTGTGCTTCTTTGTATCCATTAACTGCCAAGGTATCGCAAAGTGCTTCACTATCTATTCCAGATACTTGTGCTGCTTCTCGCATAGCAAATGCACCAAGAACTATTGAATTTTTCCGTATGTATTCAAGAAAATCAGTTAATTCATCAAGACTTGCATTCTAGCGAAATAAAGAATTAAGAACTCTTACTAATGTCTTAATTTAAAAAGGTTTTCTCAACAAAAAAGAGATAATTATTCGTCATTTTCGGCAGTGTTTCACTCTCACAGCTAAATGATCCAGTTATGGAACTTTCAACATTCCTCGAGACACAGAATCATCACAGTGCAAAATTGAAACTTTTTTCTATATATGTACCGGTAATGTGATTTGGGAAGACATAACGAAATCTTCACGAATACAGCCTGCAACTCAAATAATACAACATAATACCAAGATTGTTCTTTTGAACTACAGTTCATTATCAATGTCTCAATAAAAGTTTTATGTATGGATAAAAAGAAGCATTTAAAAATCTTCAACACACTGCTTAAACTTAGTTTATAAGGATGAATTTTAAAAATTAATACTTTTTCTTCCTGAGTTAAATGAATTAGCTGCGAGCTTCCCATTATATTCTTAGCACTTTTCTTTACTTTTACTTACACCTGTTTCCCCTCTTGGAGGAGCATTGGTTACCCACCAGCATTCTACATACAACTCTGTCCTGGACAATGCTTTCCAGTTGCTAGTAATCCTTCTCATGTCTGCTTTCGATTCCCGACACATTGTGTTCTTTGGTCTTTCTATTTTCTGTTTCCATTCAGGATTTCAAGTTAGCGCTAGCCTCGCGATGCAGTTTGATGATTTCCTCAATGTATGTCCTATCCACCTCCAGCGCCTTTCCCCACTTCTCTTCAGTTGGAAGCTGGTTTGTCCTCTCCCACAGTAGGCTGTTGCTGATGGTATCCGGTCAACGGACATTGAGTATCTTGCGTAAACAGCTATTTATAAATACTTGCACCTTTTTGATGATGGTTGTAGTAGTTCTCCAACTTTCAGCTTTGTAGAGTAGAACTGCCTTGTCGTTCGTATTGAAGATCATGATTTCGACATTGGTCGGCAGTTGTTTCCAGTCCCGTATGTTATTCAACTGTAGGAATTCTGTCCTTGCTTCGCTAATTCTTACCTTTGCGTCTGCACCTGATCCTTCTCGTTTATCGATGGTGCTGTCCAGGTACGTGAAACTGTTCACCTCTTCCAGAGTTCCTCCATCAATTGTGATTGGGTTGGTGTTCACCGTGTTGTATTTGAAGAACTTACATTTTTGCCTTGTGTATGTTGAGGCCTACTGTTGCAGAGTCTCCCACTACAGTGATTGTCTTCACCTGGATTTGCTCGTGTGAATGGAATGGAAGAGGTAGGTGATTTGTGAGGTTCAGAACGTCTAGTTGATCATGAGCTGTCCATTGTATTTTGTGTTCCGCCCCCCCCCCACAGATGTCGAGGTTTTCATAATCCAGTCAACCACCACAAAAAATACAAAACGGTGAGAGTAAATAGCCTTGTATGACTCCAGTCCTCACTTCGAATGAGTCTGTCTGCTGTCCTCCATGCACGACGTCGCAATGTAATCTGTCATAGGAATTCCGGATGATGTTGACGATTTTCTCAAGTAGTCCATAGTGTCGGACAAGGTTCCATAAAGTCCTCCTATCCACACTGTTAATTTCTTTTTCATAGTCAAAGAAGTTGATGTATAGTGGTGAGTTCCATTCAAGTGATTGTTCAACAATGATCCATATTGTCGCGATTTGATCTGTACGTGACCGAGCCTTACGGAATCCAACCTACCGATTTCGAAGCTGGACGCCTACTGATTCTTCCGGTTCGACAACGCTCTTTTGAAAACCTTTCCAGGTACCGATAGTAGTTTTATTCCTCTGTAGTTCTCACATTTTCTCAGATCTCCTTCCTTTGATATTTTCATGAGGTATCTTTCTTTCCAGTCTGTCGACATGTTCCTCCTCCCAAATCTTGAGTAGAATGCGGAGCATGTTTGCAGTTACTTTTATATCTGACTTCGGTGCTTTAGCTGGTATGCTGTCAGGTCCTTCTGCTTTCCTACTCCTGGCATGTCTGATGACCATCTCGACGTTTTCGATCGTTGGTGGAGTGACCGGTATAAGAATGTCCGTGTGTGCTGCTTCGACTTCCGGTGGATTCAATGGAGCTAGTCTATTCAACAGTTCCTTGAAGTACTCTACCCATCTGTTCCGCTGTTTTTGAATCTCCATGATCGTCTTTCCGGTCTCCCTGGTTTAATTTATCTCCCTGCTAATTTCTTCTTTGTATCATATGGTTGTTTCATATTTTCTTCTCTTGCAGCTTTTTTGGCCGTCGTTGTTAGCTCTTCCATGTGTTTTTTTCCAATCAGCTCTAATTCTACTCTTCACTTGCTTGTCTGATTCTGTGTATCCAGCTTGTGCCTTGTTTTTCTCTGTTCTTGTTTAGCTATTGTTAGTTGTTGTCTTCTTGTCCTACTCTTCTTGAATCTTGTACAGAGTTTCGATAGAGACTCATTCTTTATTATTGCACTTCTTGCGACACAGAACCTCCTGACAAGAAGTTAATGCTTCTTTGATCCCTCTCTAGTTATTTTTCACAGCAATTTCTTCTTTCAGTAGATTTTGTAAGGCTTGGAACCTGTCGATGAGTTATCTCGAATTCGTTGAGTTGATCTATCTGGTTCTCTGTGGCGTGGTCCGGTGAGACCCACGTAGTTTTGTGGGGTCCGAAGGGTTTCACTGATTCCGGGCACCGTCAAATTGTATCTCCTCAATTCCATAGCTATCTGATTTGTTCTCCCGGTTTTCCACATTGTCCGAACATTCCACGTACCAAAGTTAATTGTTGACCGGGTCGTTAGAAGAGGCATCAGTCTCGTAACTTCCGAAGAATCTCGGCTTTCATCGTGGGGCGTCATAATTCTTTCTTCAACTGGGAGGGCAGAGTTTAAATGGTTTAATTTGTTTATTCTAGTTAGCGTTCTGTTTTAGCAAACTTGTTTTGTACAGAAAGCCGTTGCTAGCTCCACGCCCAACCTTCCTCTTTTACCTGGGATTGGGACCGGTAGTAGCCCTAGAAGAGCTACGGGTGGAGTTATATATATATTCTTATTGATTTGATAAACACCATCCAAACAAATGTGTTTGAATAGGCCTTAAAACTGTAGATGAATGTTTTCACCAGTGAACAAGCCCGGTGAATTGAAGTGTTTCTGCTTCGATAAATAACATATACACAGTTCATTTTAATTTTTACTCCACTTTTGTTGTTGACGGCTATAGTTTCTTCGATCGTTTTTACTCTTTTCCAACTATTATTTAACTGAACGTTTAAATGTGAATGTTTTTTAACAAATTTTTAGAAAAGCTAATGTTCTTTTTGTCTCACTAGAAGTGCTACCGAAGAGTAGGTTTTCAGTGCTATTCAACAGATGATTATGACAAGCATTTTTATATGACATATTTTGTAGATTTACTAATAGTAAGGAAAATATATTTACGATGAATTACGGCATAGTGGTTTCCATGGATGAATTTTCACATTGAATTAACGAACTATGATATTTATCAAACCAAGAGATTATATAAACATTTGTCCTGATATTCAAATATATAAACCTCAGAAGATATAGCTAAGCACCTTATTTTGAAGTCCATGATAATGATACCAAGACTTCTGAAATTATACCATGTAGCTTAGATGGAAAATGAACTGCCACTGTGAAATTCTACTACCAATGAATTCCCACTCCATGCTAAATCAAAATGTGATCATATGATATCAACTAGTGATATCTGGAGAAGAAAAATTAAAAGCAAACAAATATTTACTAAATAATAAAACATATCAGGGTGGAAAGTAAACGTATACAACATTGAGCGTCTCTACAATAAAGAAAGAATAAAGTTCCGGATAATGACATGATTCAATACAGTTCCCTATAAATCCAAAAGATGTTTTCGTTTACGTTATTTTTTCGCTTTATTTCAGGAACTCATTGACTGCCTTCAACGCAATAAGTTGATAGCAACATTGTATTCACTGTTCATACAACCCTCTTTTTCGCATTTTCATAGCTCAATCATATATATTATCACAATTATTATCGTCACTATTATCATTATTATTAAAACACTTGCAAACGCTTTGAGAAATTTATTCAACATCCATTCTTATTAACTAATTCGTACTTAATTCATATAATTCTATATATTATATGATTTCTGATTACATTACAATCCCTCTCCTCCTGTGTGAAACATATTTATTCTGATTACTTATCTCAAGATTTCATTTAAATTAAAAACTTATTCAGGGTAACACTTCATGATAGTCATCCAAACATTAACGATTTTCATGTACTTTAATATTCTAAATTCACATACTACAATTTTTAAACGATATATTTTTCCTTAAACCTGGCCACGGATTGGATTATTATTTTTCATATATAATTGCAAAGTACCTGAAGAGAATTCATTGAAAGGAATATTCTTCCTTCATATGTATATGTGTGTTACAAAACAAAGTCAACGTACATTTTTTATAAAATGCTTTGTCATCAATAATAACAAGAATTAACAAGGGTTTTAAAGAAAAACGTTAAAATCAATATACTGGCCAGACAAACCTTGATTCTCGTTCTTGTTTTCGGTATGCGATGAATGATGATTTCAGAAAAGGCGAACGGGCGAATTAGATCCAGTTGAGAATGCTCTAGGTCTTCAAGATTTTTCAAGGCATGATAGTACCTTCCGTCAGCAATACTTTGCTCAATGCGAGAGTATTGTTCTAATATCGGAAGACTGATTTGAATTGCCTCAATGCATTGATTAACATGATCCAAAGTGAGTTTACAGGCGGCTAATTTGTCACACGATTCACTAAACTAAAAACCACCAAATTTCCGCAGATAAACAACAACATACCGCATAGCAGGTTTATAAATTTTATCATAAAGTGTCATATGAATTGTTATAATGGATAAAATACAGAAGTTGGATTATTGCTTTAAACGAGCTCAAAGTATAAAATTCATCTGATATTTTCAGAATCCCTAACAACTTGGTAATCTGGCCATGTGACTCCATCACAATAAGATGCCCAATAACAGATTAGTTTCCCTTTTATCTAAAATTGACCTTGTATTTTGAGAAAAACCAAAAGAACTTTCCGTAACTTAGGAAGGTGTAAATTTAACGTCATTTTCACCTAGCCTAGAAAACATTCATAATTTTAGTTAGATGCATTTCATCGATATTTCTTAAAATAAACCTTAATACATTATAGTTTTTATTTCGTTAAAAAATTTTCTCAACAAAACATAGATCAGCGTACGAGGCTAGAATGGGAAATTAGTTCATTCAAAGTCACACTGCATCAATAGACGTCAAGACAAACCGAAACAGAGAGGTTAAAGAATGCAAGCATATCAATTTCAATAATGATACTATAGGGCATATAATAAGAAAATCGAAAGAAAAAATGAAAACAGTAAAAAAGTAGGTAATTTGGGAAATAAATAGATATCATGAATGACAATAAAAACTTTAGTTATATTTTGTAACCCGCAACAAAATCTAGGATGCATCTAAAATCACCAAATGAGTTTAGTGATAATCATTTTTGATCTACTTACTGAGGCTTGAACTTGAGACCTGTCACTTCGAAATATCCTGCCACTCAGTCCGATTATAGGTAAAAAACCGATTTCTTTGACGAATAATAGATTGCAGCTTCTTATAGTTTACTTACAGGACCAGATATCCCATAGATATTTAGCTTTATTTACAATCTCCGTTTATGTGAACCATCAATGACAATATACATGAAATATATGGCTACATTCCGTCATAAAGGTGCATTTGAAGGGATTACATCTTGAAAAAATTACGTGCTAATAAACTACACTTCGAAAAGGAAGGACAACCCTATCATAACCATAAATCGCTAACTTTTGTTATGAGAACTAATTATATCCAATTAGTAAGATCTGTTTCAAGCTTGACATATAGTGGATTGTTTTTTATACGTTCCTAAAATTTTATTGGCTAAGACTTGTATTTGACGACATCGAAATTAGGAGCTTTTTGAAAACCTATGAAGCATATTTCACAACAAGAAAACAATCATTTAATAAAGCAAGGAAAGTTCAAGGTATGAGGAACTGTGTCAAGTTCATAAACGTCAGGTAATCAAAACTATTATAAAGGATTACGATCTAAATGAGGCGATCGTGAACAACCTAGGACCTGATACAAATGTGTAACTACACTCCCTAATGTTTAGCTTTTCTCACTATTATTAGCGATACATCTATTTCAAATAGCCTCCTATATGTCCCTGATATTAAAAATCAGGACGGAGGCACATTTGTGCCAGACTCTACGACTAATGGATGTACACTGGTAAGTGTTACCACTATTTCCATCAACAATGTAAAATGAAACAAACAGAAAAAACAAAAGGGAATTAGAACTGACATGAATAAGTCAATAAACGAAGTCCGAAAGAGTGAAATCGATTAATGAAAAGTGTTAAGTAATAAAATCCTCGACATAATTCACAAAATATTAATAAATACAGAACACAAATGTGAGTCAGTCCAGTTTGTCACATAGTTCATTAGTAAAATAAGAGAATGATAAGAATAGTGAGGACCTAAACATTAATCACGTCTGTGATGATAGAAAATGAATATTAAGTATGCATTTTAAAAATAACACATAAATGCGCGGAGTAAAGTGTGTGGATAAAAGCACAATGTTTGAAGGGAGATAAGTAATAGTTGTGTCTACCACAGTGCGACCGACATTAAGCCATTTTTAAGGTTTTTAATCATTATTAATGAATACCGCACGGACCTCAACTGAGGAACTTATTCCTCTCGATAAAGTTAAGCACATTATGGATTATTGCCAAGGTTTCGTGTGAAATTTTCCCAACTTTTTTCTGTGTTCTCCAGCACAGGAAACTGGGTAGGATGTAGAATCACATCCTTATTGACGATTCTGTATATCCATCTACTACCCCACTTTTAACTTCAGCAATATTCACTTGGTTATTCAACTATTTATGAGCAATGCTTCGAAGATACTAATGACTAAATACTAAATAGTCCACATCCACGAAGGAAAATAAAGACCTTTGATACAAATAGACAACTCAAGTGAGGTATATTTAGTCAGCTAACAACTCAACAAGGCTGATAAGACTCTCAAGGTAAATGGACTGGTTAATGTACTCGACTACATCACTGAACACGGTCAAAACGGACATTGATGCGGAGACTTGAATATAGAGAATGAATTGATGTATTTGGACGACATTGACAGATTTAGATTTGCATCACTTAAATTTGCTAACCACATATTATGGCTATCCTGTGAAATCCCACACACTTTAACTACCAGTAATTATAATCGGCACAAAAAACCACGAAAAAATTTATTTCAGTTGCACCAAAATAGATCAAGACTGATTACTTATCTAGTTGACTGCATACGATTAAAAGTTGGAGAAGACAACCTAAAAAACACAAATTATTAGGTTCTCTGACACCAGCCATTGTTTCGAATGTTTTAAATAAACATTAAAGGCTTTTTCATGAATCCTTAAAATTAATCAATCAAGAATAGAGTTGTGAGAACTAAGTGGTGAGAACAACTATACGTAAATAGGTGTGTTACTTTCTTATAGATTTACGGTTAAGGACCGACTATTATTACTTAACGAGAGGAGAGTATAAATCAGATGAACTTGATTGTATATCGCCCTCCTACATCTTATTAATTTCATACTCAACAGCTATACGATCAAGAGTTCCTGAAATATCTGACAACAATTCCTGCAACAGTGCGACTGATATTATTTACAAAAAGCCATTCACTGATATTTCTCGTTATAATTAAACGATGAAAACAATAATGGTTTCCCTCAAATCAAGCAATATATCTTCACTATGGATTTGAATCCATAAAAATTTAGCTTCCCTGACAGTAAATAAAGTGAGAGCCACGACACCACAGTGATAACTTTTTGATATCGTAGGATATTTTATTTATTTGAACACATAAATATTGGTACAAGGAGGCATCAAACATGTGCGCTGCATACATCATTCGATTTATGTGAGGGCTGAGATACTGCCCGGGTTTATACGCCTTTTGTTCCTTCAGGATCCTGGAGCCCATGTCCACCATTGGTTTGGGATCGGAGTTTTACAACTCCCCTAGGCAGACTCTCCGTGTCCACCAACCCGGTTAGGGCACCGGACATTTGCTTTTCGTCTTCTCAACTTCGTAAGCACCCCCGCCAGATTTCTAAATTTTTAAAACCACAGCTAGAAGCATGATCTAAATTTCTTATCTTTAAAATAAACACTTAGATGCTGCCATATGTGATTTGCTACACTCCCCTGACCGACTCTGTTACATAACATCCTTAGATTTTATTATACAGATAAGAGACAAAATTTTGACCTACTCGGAGTCACCAAAGCACTCGCTAAGGTTTAGTCCCAACAAAATAGATGAGGAATATCCACAAACTGGCATGTGTGTATAACCGATTGTATTGTGTACAATATTTAAATTCATGAAAAACTCTTCTCATAAGGACACTTATTTAGCTCCAGATTTTCTTGGACTTTCACGTCAATTTTTCCCTTTGGCTCAGACATTGTCTTTACGTACTTAAGCCTTTAGCTGAAAACATTGGTAGCCTTTACTCGTGGACATCAAAAGTTGGTCTAGTGAAAAATCTGACGATCTAGAGATTCAAGGATTTTAGAAATACCTCACAGAAATGTCTTGCTTATAAGTCTCCAGCTCAATAAACCAGGTCATATATATATATATATATATGTCGATGCTGCGATACATTATGTCGATTTTATGTGCATAGCTGAAAATCACAAGATTCCCTCAGAGTTTAGGCAAAACAACGCTAGCTATGGCTGAAAGGAAAAATTCGGACATGAATTATTGGAATGGCCAAGTTATTTATAAAAAATGAGTCTAACCTTATTAACTGTAACTTCCAGCTCCACATTTAGTGCTTGTAAATCGTTTTCAAGCTTTTCTGCATTTTGCTGGATTTCAAGTAATTCACGCGTGGAATCAACGAAACTTTGGTAGTGATAGCTGCAGGTCTTTTCTATTTCTGCATTATGCTCTGATGCGCGCAGATCAAGAGATGCTATGAAACTAGCTAGTAGTTCACCTGTTGGACCTCCTATGCGAGCTTTGAAAGCTGCCAACTCACTCTCTCGTAGCTTGCGAATAACATTTGCTAACGAACCACTGCTACCCGATTCAATCTCATCAAGTAGTAAGTTGAAATTTAAATTGTTAATATTTGTTGCGGACATGTTGACGTCCTATTGGCCCATGGTCAGGGAACCTTAAAAGTTGCACATATTTGGCAAGGTCGTATGAGTGACTTTGATAGTGTACTTAAAATGTCTGTCCTTGAAATTCATTCCTATTCAGAATGTGAGGTTTCTGTTGATCTTTGAGACGAAATTCTCTTGGTTAGTTCATTATTCTTTCGGAAGCACCCAGTCCATACATCCACTGACCACCACTAGAAACTTAGTTATTTTTAATTCACACTGGTGATTTTTTTCTCATAAACCTTGAAATTTCGGAGAACGTCGTGAACTTACTTCATATTAAGGTAATCTTTTCATCCAGTAAAATCATAAAACCACTGCGAAAAACACTGATTTGGCTTGCCCTGCTTTATAATGTACACGTCGGCTTAAATGCTGCTTTTTAACTTGATGTGGGATACCAATTACTCTACTAAACATCCCAGTCTTCCTTTGAAAGTTAATAAGATCCAGAAAACAGAGTTTTAGGAATAACTTAACAGTTCTAGTCAGGCGAAGTTTGTTTTAATTGCTGTTTTGTGCAAGGATGTAGTACTTTCTCCAGTTAGTAAATTATTAATTAATTAATTATGCAGTGCTGTTTGTGGTGATTCACTTTCTAGAAACATTTTAGTTGACATACGCGAGGCGTTTTAACGTGAAGTATTGAACGCTAGTTTTGGAAGCTGAACTGAATTGGAGTGTACTAAATGAACTTTTAAAATTAGGAAACAATAATTTTATCCCTACTCAGATTACTCATACTTATTACGTTCATGTCAAATGCAAATTGCCGAAAGACATGGGGTTTAAATGCATGTTTGTGATGTTTCAGTGTGCATTTTATCGTAAGCGTAAATCACAAGGTCTAATAGTGAATCGAAAACCATGAGGATTTCAACTAACATGTGACGCTAAAGTTCTAAGTTTCTGAACTGCCAGTCAATGCTCCATGTAACTCTGAATGGTGAAGAATGTCACTAAGTTATTCAAGATGCTTCACAATCATCATAGTAGTAGCTCATAGATGATTTTTGATCTGTAGGCCAGAAGATTGTCCTCAGAAGATGAAGAGCACTTGAATCCGGTGATTCTGCAATAACCATCAATAGGTGAAAGGGTAGAAAGTATTCAGGACAAAACTGGTAAGTAGGTCACTGCTGCTGATGTGGATACTAAGAAAGCTTAGCTCATCACAGCTAAGTGCACCTATAAGTTTATTTCAGTTCTTTCCATAATAACACAACAATTTCATTCCCCAGGCGAAGCAAACAGCAAGGGCGAATTAAACGAAGCCAAAAAATGTGCACAGACAACAGAATGAATAAAGATGGTGGGTGCTTAGCAATCCTAGTGGAGAGAATAGTCGACAATATTTACTAAAGAATCATCAATAACTAAATAAGAATCCGGTTTTTTAACCTGTATATTTTTGCAGTTTTCTTTGGGATAAAAACATGGCTTGGAATATAAATATGTACGTGACAAGAACTATTAACCATAAGAACTTCTTCATAATTGTATTTTCGACCTAACTCTTCATGCAACTTGTTGAGTTATTTTTCTGTATCAAATGTTATTCTTCCTCTACCAGTAGCAATGATCCAACAGCAAACCTTTGCTGAATTTTATTTTCGTCTTCCCCATAGTTTCACGGGAAGTTATACCGATGATCTTAAGTTGTGTAGCGTGGCGTCGAGTTGAGATTAACTATGAACACCGCTACAGAGAAACACGTGCCAAATAAATCAGAAGGCGAAGGTTGGACGTAACCAAAGAAACCCATAAAATCCCCGAGAAGCCAAATGTCCGAAGACAATTAATGGACCAAGTCGAGTTATATTTGCTGGCGATCTCGTGGCATCGAGAGGATACCGAGATCGTGCCAGGATACAAGCTTGGTTACAGAACGTAACCGAATTCGCGCGAAGTCACAATCAAAGTGTAAGTATAAGAATGGAAGCACAAAATAGCTGTCATTAGCACAGTCAAACAAAAGCACGTTAAAACGAACGCTAGTACATTTGGTTATAGTAAGAATTGTTTCTATTAAACCAGTCGTGTTCTCGTGATAAATGGTGAGTCACTACAGTTGTAACTGTTCGTAAAAATTAGAATTAACTAGGTGCCCGCATTGTAATTTCCCGTTTCGTTGTGAGAACCTGTAAATACAACAGTAGTTTAGTATTTTCGCTAAAACTTTGAGTCGTATATATAAATTTCTTTCCTGTAGTAAAATGTTCGGATGAATACTAGTAAAATTTATAGTCCAAACGAATACGAACGTTTGTAGAATTATGGTCTATTTCGTTATTAGTACCGCTATAATACTAGACTTAATCTAAAAATTGTGGATATGTCATGATGCGACTACATAATCTATAACATCTTATGTAGAAGTCAAATCACTGTCCATTATGACTCGTCATATCGAAGTAATCAGCGATATAATGTTTAGCGTTTCTAAAGAACATAGGTTGAAGTTAGAACAATATATTTAGTATGAATAAAGAAGATAAGTTTCACAATGATGACTACGTCTGTAAGGCTGAGCCATGCCATTCAATTCAATTCGATTAATTGTTCCCGCCTTCTCTGTTGTTGACTTTCTCTTCGAGTTAATTGTTGAATATGAACTTTCCCTTTATCTCATGTTCAGCTTTGAGGATTGTGTGGTTAGAACCAATACCACTACACTTTTACCAAGCCGTTATGGGAAATGAAACGCTGTAATACCTTTGCTTGAAGTACGTTTTTGCGAAAAGAATTTAACGATTGAGTACAGTTGTTATATTTATACTTGAATATTCATTAAAGGAATAGATGTGACAGTAGTCAGCATTAAACGCATTTATCGTTGAGACATAAGTCGTTTGTTCACATTATTTTCCACATCCAAAAATTCTTTAAGTCATTCTCCTGTACAAACTTCACTATTAAGAAGGTTTAAGCAGAAAATGACGCAGGTATTCAGTGTTTGACAACGCTTTTACCAGTAACATTTTCTAATATGATTTGTACCCACCGAGAGAAATCAAAAGACAGAGTCGAGGAGATCGAAAGAGTGTATTTGACGATTACCAATATATCGGAATTCTCTGATCTAATCTGGCTAGCGATTGCGGTAGATGTTGAGCACAGCGTTACCACACGTGATCTGGTGCGGATGCCTGATCGAGCGCCTTCAGCTAGATGAGTCCACTAAAACATGTGGTCAGCATCCAATGTCGAAAACTTACAGAGCTATTTATTTTAGGGGTTTATTTACCGCTACAGATCACTCCCCCCCTAGTGGGGCAGTGATAACCCTAAGACGTGGCCAACCAGAAGTTTAAACCCAGCGAGTTTGTCGTTGGTAAACACTCTTCTGATAGCTTGCTAGGATTAGCAGCGTCTGGTCGTCTTTCCTTACTATATGGGACCGAGGTACAACATAGTAAAAAAGGAAAATGTACAATGAAATTTTCAGCTCCTCATAAACGTCATCGTTCTTTTCCAGCCGTCCTGGAAAAGAAAAAAGAAAATGTAAGTGCATGTCGAAATACACTCGTATGTGCGTAAAAACACAATGTCGGCGAAAAAAATTGGAATATAAACTAATTTACACGTAATATCGTTTTTTTGAAATAAAAATATATAAGCATATTAAAATTGTTTTCACTTTTTTAAATATATTACATATCGTAAAAAGAATGATCGAGATAATATTAAATGTCTAGTAGTGCCTTACCTGCAATAGTCGTTCAAATGTTCTGGAAATCTAGCTCTTCTTCCAGAACGCGTCGTTTTAAGTTTATTTTCAGATACATTCGGAGTATCATCTCGTGTGTTGGTTGTCGATTGAGGAATTATGAGTGGAGTCGTGTCGTTCGATTGTACCGAAGGAAAATCGACGCGGATAGGATTTCTTTCTAAATACGCTGCTTTGAGGCGATCGATGCTGATGCAATCGTTGGTTCTGTTCTTATCGATTATATAGTACTTAGATTCACGTTGAAGAACTTTGAAAGGTCCTTCGTATGCTGATTCGAAAGGTCGTCGATGCGAGTCTCGACGAATGAAAACATGTGTACCATATCGTAAGTCAGGTTGAACGAAAACATCGGCTGATTGAAGTCGAGTGGAAGCAGGTTTAACTGAACGCATTGCGTTTGTAAGCCTGTTCGTGTAGGAGGTTAGATCCATGTTCATTGAACAGGATGAAGGATCCACGAATTCTCCTGGAAGTCGAAGTGTCGTTCCATAAAGGAATTGAGCCGCAGTGTATCCAATGTCAGCTTTTACTGCTTTGCGGATACCTAGTAAGACAAGTAGAAGAGCGTCGGTCCACTGTGAAACATTTTCAGCTAAAAGTGAAGCCTTTAGTTGTCGGCGAAAGCGTTCTACCAACCCGTTTGCTTGTGGGTGGTAGGCAGTCGTTCGGAAGCGAGTGATTCCTAAAAGTGTGGTCAGACGACGGAAAAGTTCAGATTCAAACTGACGTCCGCGGTCTGTAGTAATGGTTGAAGGGCAGCCGAAAATTGCTACCCATCGTTCGACGAAGGCGCGAGCCAGTGTTTCAGCAGTGATGTCCATGATAGGTACTGCTTCTAGCCATTGGGTGAAACGGTCAACTCAGGTTAAGAGATAAGAGTATCCAATTGAATCTGGTAAAGGTCCTACCAAATCCAGATGGACATGATCGAAACGAGCATCGGGAGTTTTGAAAGAGCCTAAGGGACATGTGTTGCGTTGGATAACCTTAGATTTTTGACAGCTTACACACGAGCGTGCTCACTCTCTCACGTCTTTATTCATACCAGGCCAGCTAAATCGTTCTGCTATAAGCTTTGTGGTTGCACGAACACCTGGATGAGACAGTTTGTGCAACGTATTGAATACGTTGCGTCGATAATAGTTCGGCACGATTGGGCGATCGCTACCTGTAGATGTGTCACAAAGTAAGGTTTCCTTACCTGTTCCCATCTGTTTGAAGCGTAGTTTTAGGGTTGTAGATGATAACTCGTGCTGAAGATCAGTGTCTTCTTTTTGAAGCTGGGCGAGTTTAAG